AGTTAGGTCTAAATTTAATGGCACCCTTTCTGGTTTATACTTTCAAATCAAAAACACCCCGTTAACGGTAATTTTTAACTATGCTAGTACAAAAAGTAACAGTTTAACTATAAATTTCTAAAAATGTCAAAACTATCATTCTTTATGTAAATATACTAAAATGCACTCAACATTTTTTCCACTATACAATACCCTTTGTTGTTGCTGAAGGTCAAAACGACCTAGTGTTGCTGGAAGACATAGGAGACTGAAGCCAGTCATTTTTCTTCAACTCGTTCTCCACAGTGATCGATCACTACCTAAGTTGGTAAAAAAAATCAATTCTTACAGATTTATAAATGTTTTTCATGCAAAATTTTTAAATTTTTTAATGCAATTTTTAATTTTTTTTCATGTAGATGTTTTTAATTTTTTCATGCAATTTTTTTCTTACAGTTTTTTTTAATTATTTTATTTTTAATATAGTTTTTAATTTTAATTTAAAATTTTTTAATTATTTTTAAATTTTTTCATCAAGTTTTTTTTTTTAATTTTTTTATGCAGATATTTAAAAAAACTTCATGTAAAGGTTTTTAAATTCTTTGATGCAATTTTTTTTTTATTTTTTTAATGCACATTTTTTAAAAAAAATTCTTCCATTTTGTTATGTCAATAAGTTGTGATGTATTATTGTAGGATTGATGTCTTTTTCAACTATTGGTAGAGGCAGAGACATAGGGGATGAGGAGTTTGACCTAAGCATGATTTCTATCATGATATTATCTCAATAAATTTTTATCATTTTAAAGCCCTACATGATAACTTTGTTATAATATTAGTAATCATATTATCACTCATTTGGTTACTATTATTTTTTTTTTTTCAAAAAAAAAAAAGAAGAAAAGAGAATAAAAAAAAAATAGGTAAATGAATCAAAACAACAAAAACATAGACAAAATGGATGCAATATATCAATAGGTAAATATGACAATGACATATAAATAAAAAGAATACAATGACTCACAATTCATGACAAACATGTTAAATGATACAAAACTAGATTATGTCTGTATGTGTGTGTGTGTGATGTATACTTGTGTTACGAACAAATGATAAATAGAAACAAAAATATTTTTTTTTATTAAATGAAACGTTATAATTTGATTAATTTGAAATATTTGTAAGGAGCTGATGCATTACAAAGTCAAGTGTCTGCTCCTTTCATACAATCAAACCACTAATAAATTGAACATGTCTAACCAATTGATGTGCCACTTTATCACCCGTCCGACGTACTGTTGACACTTCAAAGAAGTTGAAACCATCTAGCCCACTAATGATGTCCAACAAATGTGGATCCCAAGGGATAAAAATTTTCTTCAACAACATCTTCAAAGAAACATAATTGTTTGAATACAGAAATATCAACAGGTGTTGTTTGAATACGGTAGCATCAACAGGTGTTCTGTATATTTGCGCTATGAACAAATGATAAAAAGAAACAGAATTGTTTGAATACAGTAACATCAAATACAAATGTTTCATCCCCGTATAATGATGCAAAGTAAGGAATCAGACGAAAACATGAACCAAAACACAAATTCAAGGATGAATTCCTCAAATTCTTTTTGAAATTGGAATATATATAATCAAAGAAAAAGCTGAAACAGACGAACAATCAATGATATCTCAAACACAAAATTTTTTTATTAGTACAAACCAGAGAATATAAGATCCGAAAGATTAGCTGAGTAAGAAATTGAATTTGATCGAATATGGAAAGTTCAACAATATGCAAAAATCTGTCTACATCATTCAAACTCTAAAAATGAAATTGTTTCAAATTAAATTTAAGGGATACATAGAAATTATGTGCATACTGTAATAGCATAAAATATTAATTACTCAGAAAAATATCACTAGACATTTGTGAGAAAAATAACGAAAATAGGCGTTGAACTCTTAAGGATAGAATAGTAATTAAAAAAATGTAACATTTTATTCTGGATCAGTTTGATGATGCACAAATTGATATTGTGTAAGATCAACAGTCGAGTATATGTAAGGGTGCAATTAATAAACAATTAATAACAAAACAATAAATAAGAGCAAATACACAGATTTATAGTGGTTAGGTACGGGTAACCTACTCTACTCTTGGGAACGACAGTGGTGGTCGGAGATCTTTATTGATGAATAAAAGTCACCAGGAGAATGTACTCCGGGAGAATCACAATGCTTTGGGAGAGAGAGAGACAATGTGTGTAGGGAGGTATAGTATATGTAAAGATCTCAAGGTGTAGAGGTCTCAAGGTGATACCCTTTATGTGAAGAGAGCTTACATTATATAGGTATAGTCAGGTGCTCCCCTACCAGGCTCCCCCCTACCAAGCGCTCCCCTACCAGGCATCGCCCTACCAGAAGACCCCTACTTTGCGCTCCCCTACCAGGTGCCCCCTACTTGGCACTTCCCTACCAAGAGCCACCTATCAAGCGCCGCCCCTACCAGGAGTCTCCTTACCAGGCGCCGCCTTACCAGGAGCCGCCCTACTTGGCGTTGCCCTACCAGGAGCCTCCCTACTTGGCACCACACTACCAGGGGCCTCCCTACTTGGCGTTGTCCTACCAGGCACTCTCTTACCAGACGCCCTACCAGGAGTCTCCCTACCAGGCACCAATCTTCTAGGAGCCCTCTACTTGGCGCTTCCCTACCAGGCACCACCCCTACTAGGAGTCTCCCTACCAGGCGCCTCCCTACTTGGTGTGCCCTTACTAGGCGCCTTCCTGATGACCTACTGGGCACCACCTCTCTACCGACCTACTAGGCGTCTAGTACTAAACGCCTGGTGCTAGGCGCCTGTTGCTGGGCACCTAAGGCTAGGCACCTAGTGTTGGGCGCCTGTTGGGAGGGCCCTATTGATTTCTCTGGCTTCGTCCCCTATAAGGCACCAACAATAGTTAGTGACGGGGAGAGCCTTGATGATAGTGGTTGTATTGGCTTCCATGATCGTCGTGCTGGCTTTCTCCTTCGTCCTCCCTTATCCGCAGGTACATGAGGAGAGGGAACACGTGAGCTTTCTACGCTTAAGAGGGACTGCTGGGCGAGGGGCGCCCAGGCGTGATCTTGGAGCATTCTGGCAAGGGGCCCTATGGTGGGGGGCTGCTTGGTGCCCAGAGTAGATAGGTTGTTGCTCCTCTGCCGTTGGAGGGAGTGGGGCTCCTTGGGCGAGCATCAACTGTATGATTTGCTAGTTCTGGTTTACCAGTAGCTGCATGGTTTGTAAGAGCTGTTACCCGATGATGGAAGTCGTCATGGTAGATGGTTCTGAGGGTGCAAAGGGAGGTGGAGCCTTCTCCCGATGGGTCGGGTTGTTGTCTCCAAGTTGTTGACTCATCAATCTGATCATGATTATCATGGATTAAGAGAGAGTGTGAGAAAACTTAGTCGGTTCCCACAGATGACGCCAAATTGCTGACTTATTGGGCACCGCCTCTCTATTGGCCTACAGGATGTCTCCCTGCAGACCTCCCGAGAGCTTCCTTGCTGGCCTACTGGGCGCCGCCTCCCCATTGGCCTACTGTGTATCGCCTCCCTACCGACCTACTACGCGCCACTTCCTTTCTAGTCTACTGCACGTCGCCTCCCTACTGGCCTACTTGCGCCTCCTAGCCTACTAGACACCTCCTCCTTGCCCAAGGGCGCCACCCAGCTTGGCCTGGGGCTTCACCAAGGTGCCCCCCATGGCCTCGCTCAGCATCGTCTGGAGCTTTGCCAAGGCGTCGCCCATGGCTTCACCTAGTGCGACCCTACTTCGGTTTGGGGCCCTCTATTCTCATGACTGCACCAAAAATTGACGACCCTGCACCCGTCATCACGTGGATCGCCCACTATAGCAACCACCACAAGCAGCGGCAAAGGCGTTACCTAGCGTCTAGGCATCGCCCAAGGTGCCAGTCCAACCTTCGGTGTCACCCACAACATCGCCCCTGGCGCCACCATTCCCCTTATCCTAGGGCGTCATCTCTGCCTAGCATGCTGATGGAGCTGCCCAACCTTTTTTAGCTATCAAGAGAAAAGAATAATTACCCAGAGTACAGGAGCAAGAAACTCAGGAAGCTAACACCGTAGGGAACAAGAAATCTCCTGCTCACCTAAGTGAAGAAGAAGCTCATGCCCTCAACCCTCTCCTCTTACAAACAGTCGAAGGCTTGGGCCATGGGGGGCAAATGATGAGTCTAAAATCAACTAGGTAAGGCCCAATAAATTAAGAAGGCATAAGTCAACTAAAGGGTAGTCTAGGCCCACCTTGTCGATCCAACCCAGTTCAGGATCCAAGAAGCCCGGAGAGATAAGAGTACATAGGAGAGAGAGAATATCGGAATAGACATTTATGGAGATTAAATCCTACCTTAATTGTACTTATCAAAAGAGTAGTACCCTCTCTCTCACGTCACTACCTCACTATACCTATATAATGTAAGTCCTCTCCACATAGAGGGGGGTATCACCTTGAGGCCTCTACACCTTCAGATCTTTACACACACTACATCTCCCTACACACATTGTTTCTCTCTCCCAAAGCATTGTAATTCTCCCAGAGTACACTCTCTTTGTGACTTTTATTCATCAATAAAAATCTTTGGCCACCGTTTCCGTTCTCGAGAATGGAGTAGGTCACTCGAACCGAACTACTATCAATCTGCGTATTTACTCTTATTTACTGTTTTGCCATTATTTACTTATTTATTGCTCATTAATTACATCCTTATATATACTTGACCGTTGATCTTACACAATACCAATTTGTGCATTATCACAGTGGACGTATATTTTGTCTTTAAGTGTCCTTAAAGCATTAAAAGGTTTATGCTTATAAGCCTAAAAAATGGATAAAATATATTAGCCTCTAATTTTCACTAAATAACAAAGGGCATTCAAGTAATTTGATACTCAAACACTAGTATAATTTTTTTTTTTTAAATTGTTAGGGGCATCGCATAAAAGAACTCGCAATCTCGAAGAACTCGCACTCTCGACGAACTCGAACCGATTTGGAGCCAACGGTGCGAAGATTCCCTGTTTCTAAACCATAATTCTTCGAATTCTTTGACTTGGTAAAGCTAAAATTCTTTGCTTTTTCATTCAAATTTCTTAGTATTTAATAATAATTGGATTTAATCTTTGAGTATACAATATGGCTGGTCTTTACTTCCTATAAGCCTTCAGTAATTGTTGAAATTCATAGGAATTAGAAGTTGTTTGATTGATTTATGAAGAACCCAAGTTTCCGATTTGTTGATCTGGGTTGTGCGAGTTTTATGATTTGTGGGGCTTTTGATCAGTAGTAGATGTTAGTACATCTGAATCTATTGGTATTGGCGAATTCTTGAAACGGGTTTTGTTGTGTTGGTCGTTTAGGGCTTTACGATTGTCAGAATAAACTGTGGGGTTTCAAATTCTTGATAGCAGGGTCATCTTGGAGTGAAGGTCTTAATTTTTGTGGAAATTTGTGTATTGAGTTCAAAAGATACTGGTTGCAGCATTCTAGTGAGAGTTTGTGTTGGCGCTCTTGCGCTTGTGTACAAAGGGGTTTCTACATGGGGAAACCACTGTTTTATGAGATTTTAGAAAAGCCAGCTACAAGTTGTATTATAGGACTATGTACTGCAATTTGGTTTTATATACAGAAGAAAAGCATTGGATATTCACATGTGGGTTTGAGTTATGAACATGCCCTTGAAGGTCATTATTGGAGGGTAATAACATCTGCATTTTCCCATATTAGTGTTCTTCATCTAGTTTTTAATATGAGTGCACTTTGGAGCCTTGGAGTTGTCGAACAGTTAGAGCACATTGGTCTTGGGGTGGAGTTTTATCTCCATTACACCCTTGTGTTGGTTGTTTTATCTGGTTTGCTTGTTTTGGGTGCATATCATGTTTTGATACAAAAATTCAAGCTTGAATATTTCAGAAGAGTAACTGCTGTTGGATATTCTTGTGTGGTTTTTGGGTGGATGACGATTCTATCGGCGAAGCAACCTTCTTCTAAGTTGGAACTTTTTGGGTTTCTTTCGCTTCCCATTAGTTTTGCACCATTTGAGTCCCTTATATTTACCTCAATAATCGTTCCGCAAGCAAGTTTTCTTGGTCATTTATCAGGAATCATTGTTGGGTACTCTATTGCATGGGGTTTGATCCATGGGATGAACAATTACTGGGCAGTTTCAATGTTGGGATGGATTATGCTTGTGTTTGTGTTAACTTTGAAGAAGTCTGGTGCATTTGATTTCAACTTTCTTGAGATTGAACCCGTTACAGATCCATCCTTGCCGTCTGTTCGATTTCTTGCTTCTGGAAATGGCAGAACCTTGCAGATGAGTACACTGCCAGATACTGGTGCCAATCTTGTGTAGCTTTTGGTCAAGATCTTACCATATTCTTCACGGAGGTCGGCTGGACTTACATGAAGGTCATCCTACTTTTATCTTGTACCCAGTCTTTATGCAGGACTGTTCGTCTCGTGTACAAGATTTTTACATTTGCACTATCATCCACTGATAAAAACATGAGAGTTATCCGAGACTGCTCCTCTAGCTCTTTAGATTCTTGAATGTATGTCATGTCTTAAGCATTCATGGTATGTGAGGTCACTAATCCCCTTTGTTATTTTTATGCTTCTCTGCTCAAGAAGCGTTTTCCTTACCTGTTGGATCTTGGACCCAACAAGTTCAGTTTTTATTCCTCCATTTTTAACTCAATGAAACGAGGAAAAAATGATTTTCTGTTACATTTACTATGTAATGTTAAAGTTTGCCCTTTATGATCTATCGCATAAATGAATAGATTATCGTGTCCTGTATATATATTTCTTTCTCCGTGTGTAATTTCATTGTGATAATAGTTGTATTATTGCAGAAAAAGGTTAGGGTGGTATTTGTGATCTGTTTGCTCATGCACTCTATCAGTTGTATCTTTGAAACCACCAAATGAATTTTAGTATGTGAGTTTTTCATAAATGTAGCCAAGAAGATTGCCTGGTAATTGGCTTGTGACTGGGCTATTGGAGTTGACTTAGCTCATAATGCAGTCTCATATATAGTAATAAGTCCTCTGAAAAGTAATGTCATTATAATTGTATGGAATGGCTTGCAGGGAAGCTTAGTTTTGTCGTTGACGAGCTTTCATGGAAAATAGTAACATCTGTACTTTTTTACTTGGAAAAAAATATCATTTTGGAAAAGTTCTAAATGCTGGCACAAATGAGATTCTGAGAAGCATGGATTGATATTTTCCTTCAATCAGAAATACTCTGGCCAGAAATGAGCATACTGGTTTTTCTTATTGAGCTTTCACTAGGGTGGCTTCTCCTTTTGCTAAGTTCATGCTTCCCCCTTCACAATTTTGTACACTGCGTTGTATCACCTCAATTGTTCCCGGTTGCTGGTAAAATGTCCTTCCCCAAATAGGAGAGCAACACAGACAGCGACATGCCCGATTGAAAGAGAGATTTCTATTAGATAAATGGAAGATTTTGCATGGGTCTATTCACTTATCAATGTTTGAACTTTGGATTTGAGATAATTCTCTATAAGATATTTGGATGTGACATCACCGATAGGACCTTTGTGAGGATTTTAGAACAATATTAATGAATCGTTACATATATTATGTGTTTTGATCATTTTAATGTCTCTCTCTCTCTCTCTTGTTGGGTTGGGGGTTCTTTTTAATTATTCCATCCATCACACTTCGTCCTATTTATCCATCCGTCTAAAACTTCTTCAATTTCTATCTAGTTTTCACTGTGTGTAATCTCTGTTGGTTGAAATACCCTTAGGTAGGAGAACTAGTTGAACTACATTTTGTTGCTTGTAGGTCTATTTTGTTGCTTGTAGCCTGATGTGCCGCCCAGGCAAGTAAACTCAATTTCAACTGTCTGAAAGGAGGGGAAAACATTTATTTGCAGCCATAAATAATGTCTCTGTCACTAGGCAGTGGCACTACATTACATCTGGGGTATATTTTTTCCTTATGTTGCATGTTATTGCGAAAAACAGTCTCTTTTTTTATGAACAGAAGTCAAACTACAACACAACTCCTTAAAAGGAGAAGTGCAGTAGTCGGCATATAAACACACCCCAAACTCACCCAAAGCCCCGATGTGGGACAGCATCAATTTTTGATAAACAAGAGCCAAATTACAACACAACTCCTTAAAAGGAGAAGGATGCTTACATTTGATATTCTATGAATCCCGGAATAGCACAAGCTATATCACATGTTACACGACGTTTTATTGCAATGGGAAATAAAGATTAAAATTGAATAATTTTGAATGGTTGAGTTCCTATGTTTTTTATTCTCTCTCTCTCTCTCTCTCTCTCTCATTCATTCCATAGCCTTCTTTTGGTTATTTAGGGTTTTACTTGCCCAACCTATGTTTCCGGTTTTAACTGGGTGGGTTGGCAGCCGAACTTAATGGGGAATACATTCATAATGCAAATCACAAAATGAATGATATGCTAAGACCAGTAATAAAATAAATTGGGTCATTATTAAACACGATATATTAAGTAACACGAATCAATCATGATATATTAACATAAATAATAAATAAGTCGTATTAGTATTAAGTACTCTCAAACTAATTTTGACACAATTTTTTTAATTTGTATTATATGATTAATATTTATTAATTTTTCGCTTGGTATCATATGAATTCTCATATAATAAAGTATTTGTTTACATGGTTTTGCTGGGTTGAGTGCACTTTTGATTTATGGGAGGCCTATGAGGGGTGAGTTTGAATAAGAAAAAAGAGAATCGTAAAACGATTGAATGTGCTTGATAGTCTGACATGATATTGACACTGACACGATATTTTAAATGGATCAATAATATTGACACAAATACGAAAATGACACAAAACTAACGTCATTCTTGTAGATTCCTCAACACATTTTCCTATCCTATGTGAATGTATCTATCGATTGACTTCAATTCATGGGACTCCCGTTATTGCGGAGACTTAAAGAAAATAAGATGTATGCAACTTTATCCCCATCATGCAAAGAGACTAACGACGTTACTATTATGTCAAGATTCACCCTCTACTATGTCTACCACATGAAATTACAGTTCATCCGTAGTACAGGAACCCTACAGTCGTGCCACTTTAACAACCACCATGTCAAATTTCAGAAATGCCAATTGAATATAATCATGAGTAAAGCTAAAGCCATTGGTTTATATCTTGTAACAATCAACCGAATAGGACTAAGTTAAACAAGAAATGCCAATTGAATATTATACAGCTATAACCAGAATACGACTAAAGTTAACAAGAAATGCCAACAATTGGATATCTTGAAAATAAATAACAATTCTAAAGCCATGAAAATCATAGTGAAGACGGTGGGCATGTGAAACAATAGGAGACCCATTCATGGTCATCAAGGCATCTAGCTGATCTGCATATGTCACAACAATTAAATAAATGTAAACATATCTAGTTAATTAAGTATAGAAGAAAAGAATTTGAACATATCATGCCGAAATAAAACACAGCTATGTGAAATCGATTCAGAGAGCCAACTGAAATGTTGATATGAATTATTGACTTCAAGACCACTATGTAAGAAGCTTGACATACTTTGATACTTTATTATTATTATTATTATTTTGGATAAGAAACCACATTTTATTAATAATCATAAGAAAATATTACAATTATGAAGTTGGACAAGAGAGGTCCAACCCAAATGGGGGGAACAATGTACTATGCAACTGGGAAAAACTGAATTCTTAAGTACATAAAATGAAGTGAACAGACTATCTTTAATCTAATCACAAATTGAACAACCTTTTCCAAGTAGAAACCACCTAGCTTCAATCAACAGAGGGCACGAAAAATTTTATGACTACTTCTGATAGTTTCCTCCTAAATTTGGATAGTATATTTTAGTTTCCTTTATATTTCAACAGAAAATGACATTCAAATTCCAATCATAGTCAGCATCAAAATAAACATGAAAGCACTGGTATAAATTAGAGATACTGGGGTTTCTTTAGCCTTTACAGTCTGTCCTCAACTAGGGAATTGGCAACAAGAGAAAACGCGAAAAGGCACTGAAGGCAGTTTTTCGACATACAATATATTTAAGAATGACTACTAATTTTTTTCCTTTGACAATTGAAAGAGTTGGAGGAGAAAGCACATGGTTTTTACAAACTGATCGAAATATTAGAGAATTATGGGAATCATTACTGAATTATGAAAAAAAATTCACAGTAGATCATGAGTGTAATGGGCAGGTGACAAAAAAAGAAAAACTCCAAACATAAAATAGGGAAATTGTGTGTGTGTGTGTGTGTCAAGAGAGTATCATTATCTCCAATTTTCTGCATAGATAGAAAACATGTCGGGAATTAGTGGCCTACAGCTGTGGCCAGTTCACTGAAAGATAAACACGAGCAGCAGTGGGATTATCAGCAACTTTGATGTATTAAGTAAAGCTTTACATTTAACATGGTTGATGATAGTTATATATTTGCAGCTTCTTCTGGTGAAAGTGGCTTCCAACAAAAGCAACTAGAGTTTTGTCTAAACAGCTTGAGGATTGACTGATCTACAGGCATTCATTTTCACATAAAATATCTAAGAAAATTTCAATAATCACAAGTCTTACCATTCATTTACATCGTTGTCTCTCTTTTCATGATCGACAACCCCATTGACATGTGAAGAGCCAGAGACGGAGCCAGTTTCCTGAGCACCTGGATGAATAAGGTTAGAGAACCCCTGCCCAATTGACTTCCACAATCGTGTGGGCAAAGAAGATGGCAAATCACTGGTGCTCCCTTCAGACTCTGAATCAACCGGTCTTGCAGAATCAGGTTTCAACTCAGAGAATCTTACAGCTCCTAAAATCCGTTCCGGAAGCTCTGATTCATTTTGGCCCTCAATCAGAAAAGCTAAATCGACAGTAAGTGTCGTTAAGTAACCAAATGCCAGATGAACAATTGCATTTGCAACCATGGAAGATCCAATGTCTATATCTATCTCCATGAAATTTTCAGCTACACAATACTTGCACGTAAGTGCCCTGCCAATTATGCATATAGCCTGCTCCCCAACTGCTGCTTTCACAATCCAAGGTCCTTTGACAATGTTAGCTATCAGTTTGAGCCGTGAATTCCTAAACCCGTCATCCCCTTTCAAAAACTGGTCCATCAAAGAACCCTCTGGGACAGGCTCCGTAGCTACAAAATATGCAACAGCACTATAATTATCCTTACTTGGGACTTGTAGGTTGAAAGCCCAAACAAAAGGCTTATCACCTGTAGAAAATTCGTCCTCAACAGCCCTCCTAACACGATTTTTTGGATTACTTAACAGCTCAAAACTTTTTGTAGGACCCTTCATCCAGTCAAAACCAAGAGGTTTCAGAAGATAATCACCCCCGGGAATTTTAACCCTTGTTGTAAAGTACTCAGGCCCTCTGACCATGAAAATGTTTCCTGAAGGAGAAGCCCAACCATTTGGACAATCATCTGGGTCAAGAAGTGGAACAGCACCTTCAGATTTGACTCTCTCTATCCATTCATGTTCTCCACCAAGGTTGGCCATATGCAAACAAAATCACCTGTCTGTAAACAATTCTAGAGTATTATTACTAGGCAGTAGTTAGCATGACAAAAATAAATACATAGAAGCTAGTTGCAGAAAAATGACAAAACCACCCTTCACTTTTTATTCTCTCAGACAATCAAATAAGCAGTATATAAGCTACCTGCATTCTAATCAAAACCAAAAACAAATCGGATGATAATTTTTCTTTTATAACCTTTTTTGGCCTCTTGCAGCATTGACTAGTCCTCAGATTACAAACCACCCACAAGACTTGTGAATCGGGA